TCTTGTTAGATTCCTCCCTGGATACAAAGCATGATCGTCACATCTTACGTCGTTTTCGAACAAGCTTGACAGCGAAGAGATATTCTCTCAACGTCTTCGGGCGGTATTCCGGGAACATGCGATCAAGGATCCTGTCGAGTCTATGTTTCAACGGACACGTCAGTCCTGTACCGGGAGATGAGGAGGATGAGGAGGAGCTTACTCTGGTCTGATAACCCGCGCAATCCAACAAGAGAGAAGAACGACAGCTAGGACGAAGACGGAAAATAGCGTCCAGTGAGACATGATGTCTGAGAGTGCTCGGATGAGTCGTGCGGACTGATAAGTCGAGGTAATGATGTGATGGCTGATGAACAGTGCAACACAAAAAAAAAAGACTTCCTTGGTTGAATCTTGAAATTCGAAGCTGAGGCAGGTTGACGGTGCACTCAGCTTGGGAAGGAGCGAGTCAATGCAAATTGAGTAAAATGAAAACTGTAGGAGGAAGGACGGGGAGGTTCATGAACACCAAGCATCCTGAATTACTAGTCAGTGAGACCATAGTGACTATTCAGCTTATTGACATGACTAGAGTAGTGAATATCCACAGCGTCAGGTTAGATGCAACCTGACTTCGTTCTGATAAGTCCTGACTCCATGTCAGTGTCCAATCCATTAAAGCTGCAGTCTAATATAAGCTCTAATTGATTACTCTACGCCGCGACGATGATCAAGGAGATATCTTCACTTATTGATCAACATACTGTTCTCACTATATTTTCAGGGTGGGACTTTTGCTCAGATAATTATTCCCGGGCATATCGTCGAAGACCCACCAGACATTAACACATCTTTCACAGACACTCAAAGTTCAATCCTTCCTCTAGATATTCTACATGCTCTTGCCTTCAAGCTGGCCCCTATATACCACCTTGCAGCTTCTCTACAGACTTCACGGCTGCTTTGGCGACAACTATAGTGAGATTGCAAAATATAAATTTTTCTTTTTGGCTCCAGACTTCGGAGCAGATATATGGACTGGAGACTACAATTCCGAGCCTGCGCATGTCTATCCAACCATGCCAGTCCCTGAACAGCGAGTGCCAACGGGACTAAGACAAGAGCTTATATCTCCAGCCTACTATAATGGCCTCCATCACTTTCTAGCCAACATAGGCATCCTTGCCAGCGGCCTAGCAGAATCGATCCTCAGCATTCAAAAGAGCGAAATGTCGTCACCTCGAGACCAGATAATCTACCACTGCTATATCAGGACTTGTATTGACTTGATTACTTTATTCTCACAATGGCACCGATGGGTATACTGACACAGGTCGCCTCTGAACTTCGGGTATATGGAAGCCCGTCGCTCCGCGCCTTCGGCAGAGTTCAGGAAGGACGAGGAAATTCAGAGGGCGAATTGTGCTCCTCCATAAACCGGTATGTGTGTGTGAGCTCTATAGCAATGGCGACATTACGCGCGTCTTCGGTCATCCGAAGATTCTAGAGGTTATTCACAAATCATCGATTTTTCGCGGACGGGACACCCGGGATATACACGTTTCGAGAATAACTTGGAGACAAGGGATTGTGACATGAGAAAAGGCAGAGAAGAAGGCTCGAGCTTAACCAATTATTGCTCTGGGATATAGCCGAGCTGTACTCATTTTTGAACAACATTTTAATGTCCAAGTCCCGAATCCAGAGCCGATTCTCCCTTATTTCTGATAGCAGCAACAATACATAATGACAAATTATTTTAAGCACAACATGAAGTGTTTTACTCCTTGAACTCGACTTCCTTTCCACTCTTCATGCCTATAGCAGCGTAACTAACAGGATCTGTGGTACTAGTCAATCATTATTCACTTGTGTCTATCCTGGAGAGCTTACCCAGCTGCTGTAATATAACTTCTTCCCCAGGCTCAAAACGAACATCGCGCGTACACTTGAGCTCAACAGGGGAATTTGCAGATTTATAGATAATGACCTGTTCAACTTCTCCAGTAACATATTCACTTTCATCGGGCTCAATCAGTTTGCCACCGATCTTAGCACCGACGTGGTTTCCCTCTTGTAGGGTTATATGGTCACGGTCGAAATAAGCCTTAGGCATACTGGAGATTCGCAATAAGTTTAACGATAAGGATCTTCAATACGATATCGATATTCGTGAAATTGAATTGAAATTCTCTTGAGTTTCTAGCACAAGTACATACTACGATCTCTAGATAGCCGATATATATTATAGCAAAGAATTGAGTTTAGGCGGTCTCCGTCATCATGACATCTTCCATTCTAGATTGTTTATATAGGGAGGATTACGTAAAGACGTCATGTAAAATCATCATCTAAATCCGTATACTCTGTATTTACGGCCGTTCTTCTTGTAACTATAATAACTCTCTGCTGTAGGACAGATCCGAGTCATCCGACAGAGTTTCTTCTACAGAAATGCCGTGATGAACACAACGCGGCAAGGCAACCCTTAGGTTGTAGATTATACTTACATAAATTAATCTGCCAAGGGGAGTATATTTAGTTGTTTTTTATATAATGTGATTTCTAGGCCCTGGTTATAATCTATATAATAGTATATGACTTAGGCCACACCCTAATAGTAAACTTCATGAGAAGATAGGCTAGCGATAACTTACAGCGAGGCTGCTAGATTTAGCACATACGACCACAGGGTGTGGAAAACAGGGCTTCCCGTCCGCTCAGCCGTACTTAAGCCACACGCCGGCCGGTTAGTAGTTGGGTGGGTGACCACCAGCGAATCCCGGCTGTTGTATGTTGGAGTTCACCAAGTTTTTTTGATTCGTTGGGTTTAGCGCCCTCGCCGCTTTCTCTTCACCCTCTTCAGCCCGTTCACCTGAAGCTCAGTTGAACCGCCTGAACCTCAATACTCCACACCCAGTGACCCCGCTCAGCCCCTGTCCTGCTGACGTGTCCTCTTTCAACGGCACTATCCTAGTGTGATGTACGCATGTAGCTTAGCAGTGCGGTCCCATTTTGCATTGTTACCGATCGCTAAGGCTTCCAACGGACCTATGATTATTGTAAATATGGCCAGACACACCCGAACATCGACCTACATCGTAGACCCTGACTATCAGTTTTCGGAACGCCAATTTTGACCGAAGGTGGAGATGCGAGCCGCCTTGCACGCTGCGGCAGGCTGAGCTACAGGACTTTTAACCCGTTAAACACCTGATTGAGAATCTTCCGATCCAGCATCGTATGTCTTCATCTCCATCAGACATTCGTTTCTAACAAATGGACTAAGGACTGCGGACCATCATGCACTTGAACTGGACTTATTTCTCCTGGTTGAACTAAATGAACAATTTGCGCTGTATGACGGATCACCCGTCCAAGTAGGCTCTCCTATCGTAAGGAGTTCTTCCAACAGCACCTGGCTGTCCGAGATCTGTCTGCTGCAGCGATCTGGGAGGTTGTATGTCGGTGGCGTGCAATGCGCCTCCTTTTTAATTTCTACTGCGACAAAACCATACAGACATCTTACTCCCTAGCAGGCTGGCAAGCAAGCGAGGACGGATGGGAGGGAGAGGATCATCTTCCACCACCCGTTGGATGTACGTGTGACGTTTTCCGAGAGCTGAATGCAAGAGAGAGACAGCGCTCCTATCAACGGTGGCGATATTTTGTTCAGCGTCTTGGAGTTCTTACGACCACCTCATATACTTGAGCTTTGATCCTCTCAGCCTGTCGTCGGGTCATACGTGGAAAGTCGACCGCCCTGCATACCTACGTCGATTGGGGCTTTTTGACACCCGAGATGGGATTGTGGAACACGGTGACCAGGTTTGTTTTATGGAAGCCGAGTTTCCGGTATCAATAGTGGGAAGGATGCGGAGAATGGACTGCGTCGATTAGTCCAGTCTGAAGAAACAGTGGCAGGCGAGAGTCAGTCAGACTTGGTTTCAAAGTGGGCTCGGTATAGGAATGTGACGTGGGCGCGGAAGGAGAGGGGCCAGTTGCTCGTCCGGAATGAAGATCCTCAAAGCGATTCTTGACAGGATCCGGGATAGATCACATGATTGAGCGCATCTTATTCCCATTCTTCCGCTTGTTTCTTAAGCTCCGCCTCTCGTTGCGCTCTTCCTCTGCTATGAGGGAAAGAGATTTGTTATCGGTTGTATTCTCGCCTGACATCCGAGCGGCTGTCTTCAGGTCATGCAGACTGGAAGGACCTGATACACTGCCTCAAGTAGGCTATGATTCAAGGGGTCTCAAGAGTCGAAATTCGGATTATTTATACGCCGAGTTTTCAGTTTTTCCGTGCCTACACAGCAGCCGCATCACCGAGTCTCGGGCGGCATTGCGCTGGCTGTCATCATAATTCTCGCCATCTAGTAGTTACCTTATCCTTCTGCAGACGAGGGTCGAGTGTTTTCGAAAACGACGAGCCTCCCAAAGTACTTGATTATTGTCACGTTCTCATACGCAGCGATCGATACAAACAACAGACGTGAGTGCTGGGCAAATGTTGAAATTCACTGGCAATGTCTGAGACCATCCAGCCATTCTACGTTACCTGTAGCCCACGATCTTTCCCTTGATCATATGTCAGATAATTCCGGTTACGCGTGCGGCCTGGCGCTCACTAAGACTGAGTGTAGATCATGAGCAGTGGAGACCATGCTAGCTTCATCCAATAACTTATATGCATATTTAGAGCCAGTTCTTCTAAACAAGGTAGCCCATATACTGGAACGCCGCTCCCTTCTAAGGACCCAGGTCACGCGCCTCTAGTAGTTGATTTGGTCGGGTCAGGTTCGGTAATATCGCATGACCGCGGTAGCAGCTGCGCAAGTGGCAGCTTTCGGAAACCGTAGGACATCGCGTCGGGCCCCAATGGCCCCATCCTTGCCCCTCCTTGCCCCTCTCGAGATATACCAAGAACAAACAAACACTATATTATGAGAGGCCACGGTCGCAACTACTTTTCTTGAGTCCTCATCAGACTGTCCATGGGATCAGTACTTATACCCGCTATGTCTGAACCCCTCTCTCTCTCTCTTAAACCCATTATCGATAAGATTGGGAGCCTTATCAGCGAGGGAAAGGTAGGAAAGACAACGATTGCTGGTGGATGGCGGTACTCTGGCGAAGATTTTGAAACCCAGATCGCGGAGCTAGAAAAGGCGATGACTGACGGCGGCAATGATGTGAGTGGTGATGTGTTTTCATCCGTCTTTCCTGCTAATGAAGCAACGCTTAGGTTGTTGCGTGCCATGCGACTCATTTTACCCGAGGTGCAAATATTGGCAACCCTACGGGGAGACTAATCCTCATTCAAATACACGGAACTTCAATTCTTGACCCCGGCGGACTGTTATCACCTGGATCATACCAATACTTGGAAGACTCTCGAACACTTATTTCCCAGGATGGGAAAGGCGTTGACATTGGCGTTGTCGTCCTTGCGAAAAATTCAACCTTCAAGAAGGTGTGACGACAGGGAAAAAAAACATAACGTCAGCAGAGTGAATGTATAATTAGAAAGAGAATGGTCGTATAGTTTCAGGTTTAGGAAGATATGAGAAACGAACTGCTAAGTTGCAGCATGCATATGGAAGAGATTATAATCCGGAAAAACATGAGAGTGTGGAGATTGAGTAAGGTGCTCAGGAGGATCGTACTCTTGAGGCTGTAAAGTGACTTGAGATTGAGCAAAGTTATCAAGTGGATTGTAATCTGGAAATAGCTGAGAGACTGAAGGTTGAACAAAATGCTTCTGCGGATCATAGTTTAGAGGATGGGAAGGAATTGAAACATGATCAGGTTTCTCTAGCGAATCATAATCTGGAAGCTGAGAAGGGAAAGAAGCTTGAGCAAAGTTTTCAAGTGGATCATAGTCTGGAAGTTGAGGAGAGAATGAACCTTGAACAAAGTTTTCAAGTGGATTATAGTCTGGGAGCTGGGAAGAGAATGAAGCTTGGTCAGTGTTCTGAAGTGGATTATAACCTGGAAACTGGGAAGGGAATGAGGATTGAGCAAGACGCTCCCGCAGATTATCGTCTGCAGGCTGGGAAGGGGCTGAAGCTTGACCAGGGTTCTCAAGTGGATTGTAGTCTGGGAGCTGGGAAGGGATTGAAGTTGAAACAAGGTGCTCAAGAGAATTGTAACCTGGAAGCTGGGAAGAGGATGAGGATTGGTCAAGACACTCCCGCGGATTATCTTCTGCAGGCAGGGAATGGACTGAAGCTTGATCTTGGTTCTCACGTGGATTGTAGCCTGGGCGCTGGGAAGGGACCGAAGCTGGAAAAAGATGCTCAAGAGGATTGTAATCTGGAAAGTCTGAAGAGATTGCGGGCGTCCGTCGACTAATCAAGAGGCCGTTATTAGCGATGGAGCCTTGGTGTTGGGAATGAATTGTAGTCCGAGCCAGGTCAACAGGGGAACTATGCGACGGAAGAGAAAACACATCGCCGCTCAACAACGCATGAGAAGGTTGGGATGATGCCGCCTGTAAGGGCAAGATCGTAGATGCCGGGCTGTCTGCATCGCGCGGTGAACGATCAGGAGCGCCATCTGGATAATGGGATGGTGATTTAGAGCATATTCTGGGCTCAGTTCCCCGAACAGGCTTTAAGCGTTTTCTAGCTGTTGATGGTAAACTATGCATCTCTTCGGAGCTTCCTGTTCGGATAGAGCGGCGCTTTCGCGGTGTTTTTAAGCTGGCCTGTCCCGTAGTATCCGTTTCTGACAGAGCAGAGGTAGAACTTGTATGATGGTGACTTGGCGCGGTAACAGAAAGGTTGAGTCCCGAAGCACTTACGGCATTCCGTTGCAGTATACATCCCTCGTATATTGACTTGAACGCTAGCCGCAGGTGCTTTCGGTACTCGTCATCCCTTGTTTCTTCGAAAGCATTCAATGCCTCAATCACAATATTTTCATTCTTTTTCTTTTCAAAGCTATGGTCGTCAGCCAGAGATTGAGCAGTATATGAGCAGTCACTGACTTAGTCGTACAATCATCAAGAGGGGCTAGTACCATCTCTCTGCGCTTGAGCTGTGACCATTTCTCTCCGCACCGTTGTAGACGGGTGAGTCTGGTATGTAGCTTAGTTCGCTCCGACGCATTTTGAGAGTGGTATGCCTTGGCCACAACATTGTTGACGGCGCTAGTGAGGTACTTTTGGTGCCGTAGCTGATTGGATTGGCTTCTTAACCGCGAAACTTCCTCGTGGATGATATCGTACAAAATGATGAGGCTAACTCTGCGTCGTATAGGTTCTTTACCGTCCGCCTTTTTCCCGTCAATCTCCGTTGCCCTGTTCGCTTTAGGCCTGTCTGCGAGCTCTAAACAATGTTGCACGAATTCGAATGGTGTACGAAATGGATTCATACCCCAAAATGCTGATGGGTTAGAAATCCAATGTTTTAATGTTTCAATGTCCTTTCCGGTCCGATGGTTCCAACTTTCTGTGAGCGCTGCAAGCCGTATCGCTTGCTTGTCGGATAACTTGTCGGCCGACTCAGATTGCCAGTATTTGAACCATTTTTTAGGATCCAAGTCTGGATCAGCGCTTAGAATCTTTGCACGGAATGACGTGATTAGGCCGCGCGAGTTGGAGATTTTGCGTAGTATTTTGGCGGTTTCCTGGCACCATCAGCTTGATATGAATGTGGATCGGAGTAAGATAGTGGCTTACATCGTCACCAGCAGATTGCATGGCAGTCGCTAGTTCACGGAGTTTGCGAGATACCTCTGATCCAGTCCCACTTTCCATTGTAGGGGAAGTGTGTTTGTCAAAGGTCAACTGAAAGAAAGCCTGGAGCCTGAAGATCTGAAGCTGGACGGTGGAGTTGCTTCTAGGCTGGCGGGTCTGGTTCGGCCCCTGAACCCCGCACATGTCACGGGAACGTCAAGTCATATTTATGCCAAGCGAACCTATTAGTAGCCGCTCTTGGTCGCCTGACTTTGGTTGTCCTATGGGTTGGGATAGCAAATCAAGCTGGTAATTAAATTTCAATAAAATCTTCAGCAGTCTAGCTCAGAGCACCTTTTTTTCAATGGTATGGCCAGACTTTCGCGTGTAGCTCTCTTTGTTCCTCGTCTTCAGCCAAGTTGATAAACTCCTGCTTGAAATAATTGTTCCATTTCCTGGCGTCTTCATATCGTTCTGGAGAAACCATTCCACCCAGAGAGATAAGCCCATCCTCTTGAAGCTGGTGAAGAATCATTGAAACCCCTTCAATTAACTCCATCTCATTTTTGTGCAGTTCTAATTCCTTATCCGTGAATTCAATTGGACGTTCGATTCCACCACCACTTATATCATCCCAATGAGCGACAGCTGAGATAATTGCATTGCGTAGGGAGAAGAGGTCCTCCCGGTCCCAGCAACAAGGAACTAGGGAAATGGGTTCACTTTTGACAGCGTGAAGTGGATCACTAAGCATCTTCCATCGGAAGGGATCCATACTCCCCAGTCTCTCAAAATAAAATTCCAGAAGTCGCTTCTCGATTATTTGGTGCTCAGCTTGTGGGTTCTGAGAAAGTTCAAGCATCTGCGGAAATGGTCTTTGTAAAAAGATAGGAGATGCGGAAACATGCTGCCAGTCAATTATAGATGTGATATGGTTTGTTTGTGGATCCACAAAAATGTTGTCAAGATGCAAATCAGGGTGTGAGATGGTGATGATTTGCTCATTGCACAGTGGAGGCGGGGCAAGATATGGAACCAGCTTATTATATCGCTGAAGCACTGATATATAATCACTTGGGGTTTCTGGCTCTTCAGTTGACCATTGGAAATTCATTCTTGGCCGCGCGTGTTCCTCAGCCCATTGGATCTCATTCTTCCCAACAGCTAAAGCATAGTCCACAATGCTCTCCCCTAGTAGTCATCAGAAGCCACGAATCAGTAATAAAGGTATGGAACAACCCACATGGACCCCTATTGAGTTCCATCACTGCTCTTTTACCCTGCCAGTACTTTGGGTGAGTAAGAGGGCCAATTGCAAATTTGGGTAAACCATGACTCTGGTCTGGCACCAAAGCAAAAGAAGGCATAGGTTGTCGTGATTCAAGGTCGGACTGATAGTATATGCAGCCGTGCCACGGGAAGGTGATCGATGCGAGCTTTTTCTCTATGTCGACAATTTGTTTGACTATGTCCAACTGAGACGATAAGGGCAATTTATGCCACAGTGACCCTAACGCCTGCCCTATCGCCTTTTCTTCAAGGATATACTCAGCTCCTACTGCATTTGACTCATCCGCTGACCAAGCATGAATACGAGGAATAGGTATCCCCAAGCGGTCACGGAGCTTCGAGCATGTCAGTTCCGTGCAGACGACTCATGAGGTAAGACACCTACAAATTGACGTGTGGCAACCTCTGAGGCAGTTGTGTAAAAAGCTGGTCCCGCGTTTGGGTTCGGCAGTCTAGCAACTATCTCTTGTCCAGTACTCATAGTCAGGATAAGCGCTTTATTGTATTGCCCTTCCACACATTTGAGAACCTTGATACCTATAGTTAAAAAATTAGCTGAGCAATGGTCTCAAAACGATAAGCACTCACATTGGGCATCATTATGGCCAGTCACGTTGACAGCAGCGTCCAAGAGTGCTGGCAGCTTGAATTTACGGTAACGTGCTGTGAGCTTCTCAGCTTCCCGGCTCCTAAGAACTCGTTATTGACAGGTATGCGACGTCGTGAAGGATGACGTACAGCCATCGGTATCGTTGGTATTTGTATAGATCGGCTTCTTCAATTGGTATCTCTACTAACGTAGTCAGTGACAAAGACTGATTGCACGGCTGTGGATACGAAATACCTTGCCCTTCTCTCAAAATTCTCCATATTGGCGGCGTCATATGATGCTGTATAGAATGGCTTTTCTCTAGATAAGAGAAGGTACTGAACACTCTTCGAAACATACGGAGATTTGGGAAGGGAGAGAGCAAAGCCAGATACCTTTGCAGAGGAAGGAAGATCAGAGCCTTATTCAATCGTCGGGGTGGCGATGATCAACTTGGGGCGCTTTCATTGGCCCGGCAACCAGCGGACTGGCACGATCCCAACTCAAAGTCTCCACCCTTTCTTTCCGTGTACCTACTCCAAAGTGCTCTGTGACAAACTGTTTATTCTAATGAGGAGGGACTGGTTATCGTTGCAGACTTGTTCTTATTATTTCTGAGTCCACAGATGTCCAATCAAATGGAAGTAGCGGAAGCAGACTAGAAACCTATCATCGTTTACTACTGACGTTTGTAACTGTTACAGTCATTCGGTTTTCTCAACAGCACCCGCCACTTCTTCAACCTTAAATTGATCTCCCAGACTGAATCGTATCTTCTGTCCAATAACCTGATGAGTACCAGCATGTCCGCCAGTTCTACCCTTGATGAATTCCTTGACTGTTCTGTCGGTTGCTTGACTGTTCGCCTGTATTATTCCAGTGGCCATTGTTGGGTCTTGTGTATTCCGATGCACATCGAAACGGAGGTCCCGTGTCTGGACGGCGGTTTTGGACGTCGCTCCATCAGGAAAGCTAAGGTTCTTGAGCGAATCCGCGTTTTCTCTGATCTTTTTGGCAAGTGATTCGAAGGCGGCTTTGGATATCTTTGACATCGTGAATCTATAAGGAACATCCATATGATTAGCATACTCATCAAAGCGCCACGGAATATAGAAGAGAACAAACACTGCTTGCCACACCTTCGGTGGGATTTTCAGTTCAAAATTTCAGCTTGGCTAGTCCTAGTGCATGACTAGGTGATAAGGAGGAGGTTGAGGAGAAGGATTTTAAATCTTTGGGACGGGTAAAATGAGGGGATCCCCAGAATAGTTACCCGGGGCATAATCAGGGGGAAGATCATAGTTGCGGATATAACCTAGTGACTGTATGATCATGGAAAGTAGAAGAGTCATTGCGGCCGATAATAGTTACTGAAGGATAATAGTTACTGAAGGATAACAGTTACTGAAGGATAATAGTTACTGAAGGATAATAGT